GGGGGCGAGGAAGCAAACCTACGTATATATACATGCATACATACGTTTGTGTATACGGTAAACTCGTTAATAAATCATTTCGTAAAATCGCGGCCGCTTCCGAGAGAGCGACTTTATACATACACACACACACGTGTATCATTGTATGTATTGTGTGCGCGAGAGTAAGCTCTCGAGCGAGAACACGGACAGACAGAGAAATTAGTCTGAAAGCTCTCGTAGGTGCGATATAAAAAAAAAAGGGGGGCGGGGGGAGAAAAAGCGAGGAGTAGGAAGAAGTAGTACAGAAGAAGAAATGAGCAGTGGGAGCGAGGGAAGAGAAGTAAGAGACTCGCTGCTAGCTCGCTGGCTATACGTCGAGCGTTGAGAGGAAATAAAGTTGCTCCCAGGTGAAGGTTTTTTCTGTGTACATACGTGGAGCGGTGCGCGGGTGTATATAGGTATGTGTATGTTGCATTCGTGCATAATACACACACACAGACACACATGCGCGTGGACCAAGTGGAACGAAATAAAAACTTTATAACGATTTTACGAATTAAGGTTTATAGAATTTTGATAGGATTTTGGGACGATATAAATTTTGTAAATTATTGATATCGTTGAAATTGCGTGAAAGTTTGTAAAACATTGCTGTGTTTTACAATAATTAAGTATTTTATAAAATGATTAGGAGTAAAATTATCGAGACGATGAACATCGTTGAACCCATTCAATCCTAAAAATGTAATACCCACAAGTAAAAAAATCGAAAGTTTGTGTATGTTAGTGGTACGTATATAATTATTGCGATACAAAAATTATACCAAAACTTGGTTCACAGATTGACCATAAAACATGTTAACTCTTTCGATTGTTTTTTAAATATTCAAGAGATGAAGAAGCCTGACTATAATGATCATTTTCGAATATATTTTTTGAGATTCCAACGATATATTTTTATCAACAAAAAAACAATTTGTCGTCTTCTGGAAATAAACGTAGCTTTTTTGAAAAATCTTACACAGAAATTTAAGTAAACAAGATTGAAAATATTGACCTCGTCTGATTTTAACGAGGAAATTTTCCGAATTGTAATTGTTGACACGTATAAGCTCTTTAATTGTGAAAAAGTATGTATTTCCATCCTAAATGTTGATTTTTACGGGCCCAATTGGGGTGAATTGTCACTACTCTCAGAGAATTTTTATTGACGATTGCTTTTATCGCATGTACGAATATATGTTGTGGAGGTTCTTTGGCGATATTAATGATCAATTATTATTTCAAGGATAAGATGTTTTACTCGCATAGGGAGTAGGTAATTGAGTAGAAGATCAACTATAATAATTTGAATATTAGAAGATTGTTTCAACAGTAATATCTTAAAGAACTACTACTTGAAGACGAATTTTAGTCCAAGTATGAAAAGTAAGTGAAAGGTATTCATAGTCACAACAAAATTAATAGCAGTTAAGTATAGTTTATTGTTCTTAACAAAATTGAAAAATATGCATGTAAAAATTTTATGAAATTACGGAGTGTACTTAATTGAGTGCCGACTTGATTATATTGAAATGTCTCGATAAAGAACTCACACTTCTTGGATGGGCTTATGTACTATCGTTATGTATTTTGAAATTATTCTGGTATTCAATTGATTTGTAACAAATCTCATTCTCGAATGGTTCACTACGACCATGTACTGCATTCATGTGATATTGGAAGTGATGCTTTTGTCCAAATGATTTGTGACAAATATTACACTCGAAGGGTTTCTTACGATCATGTACTACATTTATGTGTCGATTGAGAGTACTCTTTTCTCCAAATGATTTTTGACAAATCTCACATTCAAAAGATTTGATACGATTATGTACTACATTTAAGTGACGTTTGAGGTTGACTTTTTCTCCAAATGATTTGTGACAAATTTCACACTCGAAGGGTTTAATATGAGCATGAACTGCCTTTATGTGAACGTTGACGGTACTTTTATGTTCAAATGATTTGTGACATATCTCACATTCAAATAGTTTGCTACTATTATGTACTGAGTTTATGTGAATATTGAGGTGTTGTTTTTCTCCAAATGATTTGTGACAAATGTCACATTCAAAGGGTTTACTAAGATTATGTACTATGTCTATGTGTTTAGTGATATAACTTTTCTGTCCAAATGATTTGTGACAAATTTCACACTCAAAGGTTTTGCTCCGATCATGTACTGCACTTATGTGAGTATTGAGTGCATCCTTGCGGCTGAATAGTTTGTGACAAATCTCACACTCGAAAGGTTTGCTACAATTATGTACTGATTTTATGTGTCTTTTTAGTGCTCCTTTTACTCCAAATGATTTATGACAAATTTTACATTCGAAGGGTTTCATACGAAAATGAACTGAATTTACGTGAGTTTTGAGTTGACTTTTTTGTCGAAATTGTTTATAACAAATGTCACACCCAAAGGGTTTGCTCCGCAAATGTACTGCACTCGTGTGAGTGGTGAGCTGACATTTTCGTCGAAATGATTTGTGACAAATCTCACATTCGAAGGGTTTTCTCCCATCATGTACTGCATTTATGTGAGTTTTTAGCGTACATTTTTGTCCAAATGATTTGTGACAAATCTCACACTCGAAAGGTTTGCTACAATTATGTACTGATTTTATGTGTCTTTTGAGTGCTCCTTTTACTCCAAATGATTTATGACAAATTTTACATTCGAAGGGTTTCATACGATAATGAACTGAATTTACGTGAGTTTTGAGTTGACTTTTTTGTCGAAATTGTTTATAACAAATGTCACACCCAAAGAGTTTGTTGCGACTGTGGACTGCACCGCGAATTAATATATGTTCATTCCTGTCATCGGTCTCATTTTCGTTTTCTATTTTCACAATAGGCAGACAACTTGAGTACTCAGTTTTGCACTTGTTTGTCGACGAAGACTTCACTTCAGGTTTAACGTCTTTGCACTCGAAATCTATGAAAATTTTTTCATCCGAATTTTTTTGTAACGCCATAACCTCATTTACGTTCATTGCCTAAAAATGAAAATTGCAGGCATGATTCTAGTGATCAATTAACGGAAAACATTCGATAAACGTTAGACTCACCGACGATTCATGAAGCGGTAATGTTTCGAAGTTTTCGGCTTTGCAAGATTCCACCGGATCGAAAACATAATCATCGTCTGCGGTCGTCCATGTATCAACCGGCTCATCTTTAACCCTAAAGAAGAATCTAATTTAATAAGGATTCGCTCCAAAAATTATGATAGCGGTGTAACACACATAAATTTTTACCTAACTAGGTCACTGTCGCCTTCCATCAATTTCAGGATTATGTGTATTCCCAATAATTTTTCACAATGTATACTGAAAAGTTATTTGAGGTTATACGCCTCGTGTAGCCAACGCTAATCCTCGAATGCGCACCAATTCGCAAACACTTGCTCAGCGCAGGAATTCGGCTACTCGATAGCGACTGAATACGCACTACTTGTAATAATAGCTAAATGGGTCCTGCGATTGTTGTAGCTCCTACGCGATACCTTACCCCCTCCAACGTTGACTAGCTATACACGCAGTTATGTGCTTTAATGTACATACAGGTGTACGAATGTCTTTAAAACTACGACAAAATTGTATTGAAAATGTCATTCATTCACAATTAGCTTACACATCGTATGGCACAAAGAAAAATTAACACAAAAGAGAAGCATAACTCTGATTCCTCACCGATAGGTTACATAATCTTATTATATACGTGATAGTAGTAGTGAAATTAGTCACCGTATCCGATCGAATCGAATAAATAAAATAATTTTAAAAAAATAGGTCTACTCTTTAAAAAGCGATGGTTCGAATGTACCTGCGAAATAAATGTGTTGGGATTGCTCATTGGATCTGGATAGGTAGCATGCAATCAATGTGAATTTTTGAACTTCTGATAACGCGCTCGAGTACAGGTCTGATTTGTGTGGAGAAAGATGCCAATATATTGCTACATATTTTATATTAATTAAGATAGTCGTACGATATCCATTATTGCTAATTTACTCCCGTATAATAATACATCATAAAACGCTTACAAACTTTTATCTTTCTATTACTCGATATCGCACGTATACACACTTGGCACGAGATCGAATTCAAAACGATTCTCTTAGCTGTCGTATACGTATATAGCTCGGTGCATCGTCGTTGTTTTCTCTCTCTCTTGTAACGCAAGTTTTCTAGTTTAAACTTGTAAAGCTGCTGTACATGCTATATCGTATATATAGAATGTAGTAGTAAGCGCGCACGTGTACAAAGGTGCCGAGAGTCACACAAACGAGCGCATTCGACGCACTTTAAGATTTTGCGCGTCGAGTAATAATACGCGGATATTGCATTATACCCGTATATATAATATTAGAGGCAGCGATGCTCTGGGATGTTCCCTTTTTTTTTCTCTCTCTCTCTCTCTGTGAAAGTGAAAGTTACTCGAGCTCGCGCTCGTATTGTATTTCTCGCTCTCTGTGCGGTACTACTACTACTCTGTTTGCAGCAGCACGCGTATACTTACTGCACTTATACATACATATATAGCATAAGCTCGAGGCCTTGAGAAGTTCGCCTTGCGCGACGACTAAAGACGACTCTGAAGTCGACGTGCCTCGTCGTCGTCGTTTTGCCCTCTTCTCGTCTTGCGGATAATTTATGCACATATTACTCGCGAGAGAGAACTCGCGAAACTTTTCCATAATTTACATCGTTAACGTTTTCTTGGCTGGCGCTTGTTTGTCAATTATTTGCGCGAGAGCGGGAGAGGTATATATGCGCTGTGTACGGAAAATTTGATTATTTTCGTCGTCGTCGTCTTAATAATACAATTCTCAATTACAGAGATTTAGGCTGGAGTACGAAAAATGACTTTGAGGGGCTGAACGGAACGAGATGCTGTTTTCTATTACAAACTTTGATGATTCGTATTTTATACAGTACTAACGTTTGCGATCGATTTTTCTGTTGCAGCTGGATTCCAAGATGCTCTTCCACTGCTGCCTGAGGATAGTGTAAGTAAAATTCGTAAAGCGAGAAACGCATTCTAGTATACAAAATAAAATTAAGTGTCGTGGACAAATTTTTGATGTTTCAATTTGCTCGAAATTTCTTATTTAATTCTAATTCTAATGAACATCGAACGCAAGTCGAAGCGATGCGTATCTATATATTATGTGCTTTATGCAATATCTATAAATGCAAGAAAATGAAGATATCGTTGAACTAGCCCCTGTTTTTGTTCGCTCATTCGCAATTAGCTGATACACGCGCCGTACCTTTATAATACGAACGAAATACAGGCGTCTCTATACGTATGTAGCACCGACTTTTCTCGAGTAGTATACTACATTTTAATATAATGTGGTATAAACACCAGTTTTAGCAATTACTCGTGAGCGAACACAGTTGTTTTTACATTTTTTCAAGTGTGGCTGTAGTTGACAAAGAAAAATCGTTATCGCTATCGAAGTGTTATATTGATATTTAACAAAAAGAAATTAGGTTTGTTCCTATTTATACCTCAGTTGTCATTTGTTCGGTTTTAATCAGGCGTTATTTTATTACCGAATGTTGCTACTTTGTACCGGAACAGTAGAATTGGCGGACTCGAAGGCGGGCCTTGTACGGTGGCTTGGTCAAGTCAAGGCCAAGCAATTCTACGTGCGAGTAGTAAGTAGCAAATATCAGTGATCGAAATTGCGCCTGGCAAATACGAACTAGTAACAATCGGTAACTTTAATAGATACAAATCTAATGTCTTATTTTGACACATTTCGCAGGAAGTATATATAGAAAAACTACAAATTTTCGCGCCACTTGCGGGAACTGATTCAATAACATGAGACATCTAATGTCGATTACAAGGACTCGAAATAAATTAACTTCATTATCGTAATAAAAAAAGTTAATTTTTTTGGCGATGTTGTTTTCTAGATGCTTATGATTAAACATGAGTGAAGAGACAATATTATATAATCGGTTATCATTAGCAAAAAAGATACTGCACATCAAAAGTAACGTTTTTGCCCTGTGTTGATTTTTCAATTTATGCTAATAAATTATCAAGTCTGCCTAATCAAGAAATAATCACAGCTTTTACAGGGGATAGCGATTTTTTAACCCGAATTATCGCACAATTATCGTAGAGTCTATAATTTTCATAACTGTTAGCTGCATTTATGACATTATTTTTTATAGAAGCAATGAGTTTCATAATTCCATCCCTTTCATTGGCATCAATGAAAAAATCAGCATATGATCATGGGTTTTTATTACATTTTGTGTCATATGTCATATGTAGAAATATGAGCGTAAAAGACTAACATTTTTTACAAAAGTAGTTAAAAAATAGATCACCACCCTTATGCGGCGTGATATTTCGTTTTTTGCTCTTTATCGATGTAACTTTCAGTATTTTCAAGGGTGTAAGTTGTAAATTATAGCAATTATTATAGTAAATTTTTTAAAATAACTACTTTAAAAAAATAGTCACACAGTTAGAATTTTAAACTGATTTAAATATTGTAAGAATAATATATAAACAAATATATCAGTAGCTTAATTATAAACCGTATGATTACAAACGGATTTGATGTCGTTATCCGATTACATTGATCATGTTTATATTAAAAATAAATTAGTTTGAATTCAGACTTTCTCGGTGAAACAAGCCATAACATAAATTCAATTCAATCAATTTTCGTGGATAGAACGATCCATTAGTTTAGGCAGCAAAATGGATAAAAGTGAGAAAAAATCCGAAGAAGTTGTTTCGAAAGATAATTCAACATTTACACTAGAATCGAGCCTAATAACACATCGAGATACAATTCGCAATCATCAAAAAGGTTACGCATGTGATAAGTGCGAAGAAAAATTTGAGTTTCGAAGTCATTTGAGTAGACACCAAATATCAGTACACAACGGCCGCAAAGATTTTGCATGCGACAAGTGCGAGAAAAAATTCGTGAAAAAAACTAGTTTGTTTACGCACCAAAAATTAGTGCACAAAGATCGAAAAGATTTCTCGTGCCACAAGTGTGAGAGGAAATTTGAAAATAAGTCAAATTTATTAAATCACAAAAAAATATTCCACGAAGTTTTCAAAGATTACTTATGCGAAAATTGTGCGAAGAGATTCGGAAATAAAAGGAGTTTAATCACTCACGTAAAGATAATACACGATGGTCACAGAGATTTCGCATGTGATAGGTGCGAAAAGAAATTTGGGCGGAAATCACATCTGTTGAAGCACCAAATATTAATACACGATGGTCGCAAAGATTACCCATGCGACAAGTGTGAGAAGAAATATGGACAAAAAGATTATTTGCTCAAACACCAAAAAACGGTACATGAAAGTCGCAAAGATTTTGCATGTGACAAGTGTGAAAAGAAATACGGATATAATCATCATTTGCGTTTGCACCAAAAAATCGTCCACGAGGGTCGCAAGGACTACGCATGCGACAAGTGCGAGAAAGTATTTGGACAAAAACCGCATTTGTTCTTCCACAAAATGACAGTGCACGAAGGTCGCAGAGATCACACATGCGACAAGTGCGAGAAAAAATATGGACAAAAAAAGCATTTGCTCAAACACCAAAAAACGGTCCATGAAGGTCGAAAAGAATACCCATGCGATAAGTGCGAGAGGGAATTTGGGGAAAGGGGCAATTTGATCAAACACCAAAAGACGGTCCACGAAGGTCGAAAAGAATACCCATGCGACAAATGCGAGAAAAAATTTGGCGAAGGGGGAAATTTGATCAAACACCAAAAGACAGTGCATGACGGTCACAAAGATTTTGCATGCGACAAATGTGAAAAGAAATTTGGAAAAAAAGGGAATTTGATTAGACACCAGAAAGCAGTACACGAAGGTCAAAAAGATTTTGCTTGCGACAAGTGAGAAAAAGTATTTCGACAAAAAACGCATTTGTTCTACCACCAAAAAGCAATTCATGAAGGTGGTAAGGATTTAGAATGTGTAAATTGCGAGCAGAAGTTTGGAGTTCAATCAGATTTATTGAAGCACCAAACGACAGCACACTATGGTCAGAGAGATCACGCATACGATGACAAGGTATTTGACCAAAAATAAAATTTCCTCTTTGATGAACAGGTGGTCCACGAAGGTTATAAAAGGATGAAAATAATTTTATCACTCACTAAACATACAAACCGATTAAACACAACTAAGCAACAGTCCATTTAATTCGCAGGAAACGTATATCAGACAATTCTTGAAGTTCGTTAAGATTACGAATGTAATAAATGCAATAACATTTTTTCATACGCTATTTTACTCCTCACACGTGATTTGTTCCTGAGGGTAAAGTTTTTGCACGTGAATATGCAAAAATATGTACAAAATAATAATTTTATAAATAATTTCTTGTTCATCTGAACAAGTCTGTCAGAATAGTATCTGAGTCACTCTGAATAGTGCCTTAGAGAATAGCGTGTGCTATCGGTGAAGTATAATGGTAAAGCCCTTTTCTTTTAATGACAATTGTAAAAATCTATAAACTTGCATGGATACTCATAAAGATGTTTTTTCGAAAGTTTCAATAAAACTTGTGCCAATATGCTTATTAAATAGAGCCTTGTGCTGTTGACTATCATTTCACCTTTGCTTGTGGTGGCGTTTTAATTTTGAACCAGACTACGCGTACTTATGCTAATTACTACTTCATTGCTACTTAGTAGTTAGTACTTTATGAATCTAGCAGCCGAGAGTTTTTAACGTCTTGTTTGAAGCTGTGAATTGGGCAAGCGCTTTGTTGGCTTCTAGATTTTCGTTGAATCTCGCGTAATGGATTTTCATAAATTTATAAAAATAAAAAAAATAATAAAAAATAGCGATATGTTCTGACCAAAAAAATCAATGTAAAAATCATTTATTAATTTAATAAAAAACAATTAGTGTTTTCAACATTCCTTAAAATTATTAGAAGCTTTCTTTATTGTTATAATCTGCTCCTTAGTACTTTTACCAATCCACGAATCTTATTTTAATGTTTAGAATGTAATTTTCCGAGTTCAAAAAAATCAACAGCCTCAACCAAGTGTTGTATGAAAGTTTGCGCGGGGACTTGGCACTCTTCATTTATAATGTGCCATTGAATATAGAGTACTTCAAGATGGCTCGTCGAAATCATTTTCCGCGCGCAGTAACAAATACGATAATTCATGATGATTTATCATTAGAGATTATATTCTAATACGCTTTCAAATGGTTTCTTTTGATATATTGATTAATATTTCAATTTTGTCAATATCAATGGAGATGAATACATTCATTTTTTGACTTTTATGCTATTTTAGATTTTTAATGGCTTTTTATCTTATGAATGTGATTTTTGATAACAAATCCGAATTTTTCACCAAATTTTACCTGAAAAATCACATTTCAATAATTTTTTTCACATTCACTGAGTGCTAAAAATTTCAGAATTTTCAATTTTCAATGTATTCTTCAAAAGTACATACTTCGTATCAATTTCATTTTTTTGAACTATCATGGTTGATGTAATATAACACATAAACAATTAAATCAGTAACTTAAGTGTAAACAGATATGTTTACAAACAGATTTGAGGTCGTTACTCGAATACATTGATCGTGTTTATAGTAAAAACAAATTAGTTCTAAAATTGTATTTTCTAGTGAAACAAGTCCTAATCCCAGAGATCTCATTCAATTTCCGTTGTATTAAACAGAAGAATCCATTGATTTAGGCAACAAAATGGATGATGGTAAGAATAAAACCGAACAAGCTATCTCAAATGATCATTTAAGTAAGCACGACATTGTTGTTTCAGACAAAAAAAAAGACATTTTTGATATTGGCCAGGAGGCATTTGGACTAGAATCGATCATGAAAACCCATCGAGACATTAGTCACAATAATCAAAAAAATTACGCTTGTACCAAATGCGAGAAGAAATTTGAGTTCCGAAGTCATTTGAGTAGACACCAAGTATCAGATCACAAAAGCTGCAAAGAT